ATACACCTCAGAACATTCCCAGAGACCATTTTCTATAGGATACTTTCATAAAATAGACTAAATTGTTACCATCAAGGAAACGTAGGAAACAAAATGAGAAAAATGTCAACATATAAAAACAAAAAAGAATTCTTTTAATTCTGCAAGGTTAACTTCTTGGTTCCTCCCAGAGAAGAGACATCAGGAACTAGCTTTATTCAAACTGCCTTGAAAGTTTTTGCTTTTAATTCCTTTCTTCAGGGACATTACTTAAAGATCAGTATCACTACCAAACTAAAATTCATTCACTGATCTGAATTGAGCATAGTCCATGTCTTGGGTGCTGAGCCTGAGGATGGCTGTACCTAATTAGCAGGCAGAGCCTTCCTGTGCAGTATCCCTATCCTGTCTTGCCATTAACTCTCAGCTTTCCAGGTCAGCAGCTGATTCTGAACAGTTTTTCCTTAGGCCAAGGAAGAAAAGACACAAAAGAATTTCTGAAACGTGCTCCAAAGAATTCTGCAAGAGTTGTATTTCTCTTTCAAGGAAAAAGATATGCAGCAAGAGAGGACACAACACATTGTACACATCTTTCTGTTTTTCTTTGTGCTTCCAACCACTTTAGCAACTACAAACCACTCGTTCCCAGTGTTCTCCTCTCTTCCATTTGCAAGAGTAGGGATTACAAATTCCAGTCAATACTTCTCCTGCTAAAACATTCCACCCACGTTGCTTGTTCACACTGTTTTCAAAGCACCCTTATACTCCTGCACAACACCATGGGACACGGTGTCTGTGTTTCTGCATCAGCACTGTAGACTGAACTTTCAACTGAACAAATAGGGAAAAATCAAATGGACTAGAAAACAATATCTGAATGTACAAGCCAGGCTACATCCTCCATCATCCTTTTCACTGCTTCTGTATGCGTGGAATTCTCTTTTAACATGCAATGCACTAACCAAGTGCACCAAATCTTTTGTGAGCAGAACGTTAATTTTCTGTAGCAGCAAACTCTTGCATGACTTTGGGCCACAGAACTCAGACTCTGCCCACTGATTTCCAGTATAGTCTGGCATCAGGCTCTTACAAAGGAAGTATAAATGCACGTGAATGGTTTCCCCCCCCTCAACTGGAGAAAAAGTCGTTAATAATTAACACTCTTAAGACAAGAGACTGCAAGAATAGCAAGCTTAGGAAATTTCAACAGCTGCAACGGTGAAAAGGAAGGAGCTTCCACAAAGCAGGTCTGAATCCTGGTACATGACTTCAGAGACTTCCTTCAATATCTGTCTTACGCCTGCTACATCTGCTTGTACTTTTTATAAGCTACAACACAACAAGGCTGATATGTTTTTCCCTCTGCAGAACACTGAGGTAATCCAGACAAAAAATTGCTAGGTGCTTCCACATCTTAAGCTGAGGAAGTTGACTGAAGCCATCTTGCAAAGCAATCGTATGAAGAAACATAGAAGAAATCTGAACTAGTACCAAATTTGTTGTAAAACGCGTAGTTGCTCTGATAACATGTGATAGAAATTAAGCTACAGCACCACTGAGCTGAAGTAGCAATACTAATTTTTCTTCTTTTATTGACCAGCCCATCTATTATGGACTAAAAAAAATAAATAATCACATTTTAAACTGCTATATTTTTCTCTGTTTTGAGGGGCCACGGGGATCACACTCCCTGAACTGTTTTGTCATCTTGAAAACTTTTCAAGTACTTCCAATGAGTTACACACCCCTCACGCTATTCACAACACTTGGTTTCAATCTGAAGGAACACAAACACCTCTGAATGCAGTACAGGCAAACTATCCCACCAACCGAGCTTAAAGAAAGCACTCCAACAAGTCAATCAATTCCACCAAAACAATACACGTCCTCAGTAAATTCTATAGAAATAACACACTGGACTTGAAGTCTTCACCATTGCTTCTCTTTTTGCATACACCACCCGTGCATTTTCACACAGTCATGAACTAGAACTCACCTGTCTGCTTTAATAACTATTTTGATTTTTTACTTACCAATTCATTCCGAAATAGTACAGCTGAGTGAAATGCACAGAACTCAATAGAAAGAGGAGGATGACTCTAAGGCATCCACTAGGAAAATGGCAAAGACTAGATCTACTACACATAGACCTCAAAGAGAACAATCATACTGCCCACAGCATCTGTGTACAGTTGACAACAGCGTCATAACCAGAAACTCACGCATCTCATCTCTGCTGTAACACAAATGAAGATCTCAAGCCTCACGATGTATCAAAAACACTGATGTAAAATACTTCAGTTGTAAGCTGACTACAGGAAACTACAACATTCTCTCATTTCTGCAATTCCCACACAACGTTATGAGAGCCCCATCTCACACAGTGGTCAGACCAGCCAGAGGCTGCAGCTTACTCTCTCAGCCAGGACACAGCCTCACAGGAAAACAAAAGGAACCTAACATTCACCCTCCCTAGAGAAGAACAAAATTCTTGATATTAAAGACTAAGAGAAAAATTACTTTGTTTTGTTGGGGGAAGCACAAAACACACGCCTAGAGCACAAAGTACTGAGTGTATGTTTCTGGACTGAATCCGTCACAGAATAGTTATTCTGAGAAATAAGAATATTAAGAAAGCAAAAGTTATGTCTTCTTTTCAAAGATGAATTAGCTGAATACTTCAACTTTCTGTCCTATTTCAAGGAGCATGTATTACAGCTCACAGATGATTTTTAAATGATTCAGTACAGTGGGTTAAATATTGCATGGTGTGGTTGTTGTTTTAAACTTCTTTGGGGGGGTAAATAAAATAGCTATTCCTTAGAAAAATCAACTGATCTAGACTTCACTGTGACTTTTAAGTGACTACGAGAACGAGAGACAGAAATTCCTTGCTTTGCCTTTAAAGTACTAAATGTTTTAGAAAGCACAGAAACTCCATGACATCACCATGACTAGGAATAATCAGCAAGGGTTTGGTGGAGCAACTGCAGAAGATTTTTGCAGCTCTTGTTCAAGAAAGAAAAGGCACTAAATCATCAGCTGCTACAAGCAAGCCTGCTGTCAAAATGAAGCACATACACTGCCCCCCACCCTCACATACATTTGTGGAAAATTAATGTGTGAAATAAGGCTCTAAGCACTCCATCAGTGCCTACATACAACAGCTCTGAAGTGACATATCTTAACATTACTGCAATACTTACGTGATTTATTTACAGAAAATATTAAGGTATGTGAAGCAAAACCCAGGCACTGTAGACATGCTCTGTTCCCTCCTCCCCCTTCAAACAAGGAACCAAAAACCTCACAGAGACAGAAAGATCTGATGCTTGACAAAAGCAAGGGAGAAATACATCTGTAGTACGTGCCCTTACATATGCCATCTTGGCTGTTCACCCATCCATGCCTTCCAGCCACTTACCAAAGCTACAGAAGCTCTGTGTATCAGTTATTTACCTGTACTGGAAGAAGATACTGTCCTCATGACAGAAGTTGCCATCCACAATGACAAACAAAAGAGAAACAGAGTGATTGGCTTTTTTCTGTTGGTTTCTTGCTTTTAAGGTCTCAGTCAAAGGCGAGTTTGATGCTTTTGAAAGCTTGGCCAAGTCAAAATTACTGCAAGCACCACTATCTCTTCTTTGATCACTTTAATAAAGGGGACTTATTCAAACATTCATGACACATCTGTTACATATGTGGGCCCCATTCTGCTCTGTGAAGCTGTAGAAGTTCTTAGTTACGCTGACTGATGAGCAACGTAAGAAAGATTCTATTAATTCAGCTTTGTTTAACACTGCTATTTTCAAAACAATTTCTTTTAAGCTGTGAACATAGCCTTTCCTGGTTTCTCACTCCAAAACTTATGTTAGTGAATGTTTAGCAAGTCCTTCCTTAGGTTTTTGTTTTCTTTTTAATTATTTTTTAATTATCACTGCATAGTCACATTGTGTCCCAATTGCCTCATGGAGAATAAATACAACACTGTTGTCATTCCTACCTTTAAACCAAGGGGAAAATAAATAAAAACCTAAGCCACCCACCTACTTCTTGCTTTTCAGGACTCCAGGAAGTAGACAAAACTATTTATTGTTTCTTCAAAATGCTTTTCCCCTTGCAGTCCAATGCTTCGTGACAACTCATATCACAGTAACGCTCATCTATGGGAAACACATGTCCTCTCTAAAGGAAGCTAGCAGACTGCTTACTGCACATTTGAAAAGCACCACATTTAAACCTAAATGAGATTCAATAACCCTAACTTTGAGTAGCTCAAAAAGTATGCCAACTGCTGTATAGAATAAGGTTAATGACTACTTACATTAAGTATGCTTTAGACCCCCAGTTGCCAAATTTTGGCACCCAGAAAAAGCACATACACCACTTACTCAATTGTATTGAGTATGTTTGTTTCTCTCTACAAAGCTCACAGTTCCCACTGCAACCATCTTGATGAGCAGTGTCAAAAACACCAGAATCTGGACCCCACATTTTGACTAGGGAACTGTCAGGTGACTAGGGAACTTTGACTGGTGGATTCCAAGTTCTATGTTACTTCTTGCTAGCCATTTACCAACATCCCACCTCCCTGCTTTGGGCAGGGGCTGGGCCCAGTGACATCCAGAGGGGCCTTCTTTTTCATTTTAAAGAGAAAAATTCCAATAAGCCCTCATGAATTCAGAGAAAAGAGAGGCCAAGGGGATAAATAGAGAAGAGGCAGCTGAAGATCACGGCTATGCAGTGAGATCTCTGACAGAACTCCGAACTCAGAGCCTGCAGGGCATGCATGTGTCCATACAGAAACCACCCAGACCCTACGACACAACAAACTACATGCCTCGAAAGATCTATAAGAAAGTAACAAGAGTAAAGACACAAAGGATACACATTATCAACAAGTATTCAAGTGTTTTCTTTTCGGGCTGCTACAAAATGCCACAATGCGAGGGTCTTACTAACTACGGGATGGAAGAAGGAATCTGAATATCAACCGATCTCGTGCAGCTCCTTATTCCAGGATGAGGTGCTACTGCGAGTCAGGGAACAGTTCCAGCCCAGCCATCACAGAAGGAGCTGCTCCACTCCCACAGAGGGCAGGCACCCAGGAGCTGACTGCATATGGAATCCACCAAATTGTTACCCGTCCTCACGGCACGCAAAACACGAATCCCAAACACAACCAGCCCGCACCTGGAAGGCTCCCCATCGTACAGCCTTCCCCACAACAGCCCAGACGACGGCTTCGCGGACGCGCGACAGCCTCCCACCGCACCTCGACGCCGAGCTCACTCGTAGCCGGACAGAAGATGAAAGGCCGACGAAAAGCCATTCGAGTTTTTCAGCCTCTTCGGGACATCTCGTCACCAGGTACGAGAACGCCGCGTGTAACCGGAACCGGGCAGCGGACGCTCCCGCCCAGCAGCGGCGGGTCCCCACTCCGCAGGCGTGCGGTGCCGTGCGGTGCCGTGCCGCCCCCCGCGGCCTCCCGGAGCCGCTCGCAGGCCCCGCTCCGCCGCCGGCTCGGCACCGCGCCTGGAATTACAACACCGCGGGCGCAGACGCAGGGGGAGGGAGAAGGCGGCCAGACAGAGCGGCGTGCGCCGGGCCTGCCCGGCCCCGCAGGCGGCCCCGTGCCCACGCAGGAAGCCGGCGGCCCCGGGAGCCCCCGCGCTTCGCCCGCCGACGGGTCTCCGAGCATCGGCCCGACCCGCGGGGCGAGCGGCCGGGTCGGAGAGCCTCGGGCAGGCGGCCCCAGCCCGCGTCCGACGGGGAGAGCGGGACGAGGGCCCGGCGCTCGGAGCCCCGCGGGGCTGAGAGGGGGTGGAAGCGGGACCGCCGCGCTCCTCACCGCCCGGCCGGCCGGCCCGACCCCGCACTCACCGCTCCGGGGGGCTCCTCATCCTCTGCGGCGGGAGAGAAGGCGAAGCAGGAGGGAGCCGCTCCCGCTGCGTTACGCAGGCCGCGCCCGGGACCCCGACGGCTCCTGGGAGACGGGAGCGAAGGCGGCCGAGCGCCGGGAGGGGGAGGGCGGGGCGGGGCGGGGCGGGGCGGCTCGGCGCAGGCTCGCTCCCCGGCAGGCGCTCCCGACGCCCGGCGCGTCCCTGCGGAGCGGGCGGGGCGGGCCGGAGCCGGATTCCAATCACGGCACCCGCCGAGCCCGGCCGCGCGCACGGCGGAGGGAGGGGAGAGCGCGGGCGCGCGCTCGGCGGAGGCGGCGCCGGCGGCCGCCGTCGAGAGGCGCCGGGCCGCCCCTCAGAGCCCTCCCGCTTCCACCGCCATCGCGTCGACACGCGCCGCGGGCGGGAGGGCTGGCGGGGAACCGCGGGAAAAAGTTGGCCGCTTCTTCTCCCCCGTAGATCCCCTCACGGGCCGTAGCGCAGCCGCGGCCAGCCGCCGCCTGAGGCTCCGCCAAAGGGCCGTCGAGAAGGGCTTTCCCGCTGACGTAGGCGCCGCAGCTCCTGTAGGAGGCGCCAGAGAGGCGCGAGGGCGCGGCGGAGCTGTGAGGGGCAGCGCGGCCGGGAGCGCTGGGGAGGCGGCGTGAGGGGTGAGGGTGGCGGCTGCCCGTGGAAAAGTGGGGGCCTCACACCGGTCCTTGAGCTCTGTGGAAGAATAGTCCTGAAAAGCTTGACGTCCCGGTGCCTTGTGAGCGATGCGAGTGCCACTGCAGTGAACAGAATTGTTCGTTTGCTTTTTTTCCATTTCCTGTTTAAATAAACAAAGCTGGCTAGTTAGATTGGAACGTCGTAACTTCTGCAACCGGCTTCTCTGCTCACCGATAAGACTGCTAAAGGCCGTGATTTGCATTGCACTTCCAAGCTCCTCGTCATTAGGACGCATTACCAAAGTAACAATTTGTCTGTCTGTCTGTCTGCCAGCAGCAGTGCAGAAGGAGCGCTGGTAGCACTGTGCCATGGGACGAGCAGCCGGACCTTTCCCTCAGCAGAGTGGCAGCGACTCCGATGTCGACGTGGTCCCATTACACAGCTCTGCACCAAGAACTTTGTACACAGGGCCAACCACAGGGGGAAACGAAGACCACGCAAACCTGCTGGCTTTCCCTTTGCTATTGACCAAGACAACCCTTAGGCCATCTGCCTGCCTACAGATAAGCTGTTTTTAGAGAGTAACCAATTGGGAAGAAATCTCACTTAGCCACATGCACGTATGATGTGGGAAACCCTGCTTTGCTCATTGTGCTGACCTCTTCACAGTCCAGCTCCATTTTTGTCTGCCAGCGTCATATAGAGTTTATGTCGTCCCATTTGTGTGTAAGATGAGTGCATTGGCTCTGTAATATAGTTCACATGTGTTGTACACGTGCATTGTTAAGCAACTGCTTAGCTTGCATTCTATCCCATATAGTAAAACAAAAGGGGAAGTACATTCAAACCTATCTGCTTTGCAGATTCCTTTAAAACATAGGCAATTAAAGGCACACCTAGTAAGTGTAGGTGGCCAGATACTACAGAGAAAGGCATTAAAAAATGTAGGACTTGCATTACTAGACTTGTAGAAAATTTTTTTCCGATGAGCCAGAAAAAAATGTCAGTGTCCAAGACAAAGACAGCCAAGAAAGACAAAATCACAGTGCTCATGCCAAGCAATACAGAACTTGTATGCTTATGTTTATAATTTCAAAGGAAAATATGAGTCTGCTGTTCCTCCACTCTGTCTACTATCAGATTATAGCAGCAGAATAGACGCTCAATATGGAAGAAGAATGCAACATGCATGTGTGTGCTCCCAAGCAGAACCAAAGCTGTTAGAGCTAGCATCTCTTTCCGTAATAATCTGTGTGGTAATACAGTCCTGCATTTTCCAGATGTCAGATAGTGATTTAAATCCATCATGCCTGAATTCAGCAAAAGCCAGTAGCCTCAAAATTTGTTTTTGAGCTCACTTATGAAATAGATCAACTGTTTTCACTGAATTTCCTGTAAGTAATCACAGAAACTGCTCTCTTAGCTGGTACTTTTTAAAGCAGTTGGGCACTGAATATATCTCAGGCAATAGTCCCTGTCACATCAGAAATTGTGTTGCTGAGGATTTGGTTTGCTCTTCCCTGCCAATGTGCCTATTCACAGCATAAATAAGGAGCATCAAGCTGTGTAAATACTAGTCTTAATCACAAAATAAATTCAGTAAAAATAAACTACATTTTAATAATATTAGGCCTGCAAAAAACAGCTTAATCTTGATCTAAAATGATGAATCATAGCAACCTCGAAGGGTATTTGCATCTCAGTATTGTGCTGGTTGTCTGATGAAACATCACATGGACAGTACTGTACTTTTCTAAACATACAGTATATACCGTATGGCTTCAATTTCATAAGGTATAAACTTTTTTTGAGACGTGGATTAACATTGAAAGTATGAAAACTATATGATTAGACTAGAACTCCTTGTTTACATTCATAGAGCAGTCTGTATGTGAGAAGGAGTTTGTTGACCAATGCTAATGTGTGAGACAATGCGGCATGATGGGAGCATTTTCTTTATGTGCTGAATTTCCCTTAATGAAAGTAACTGTGGAAGTTTAACCTCAGAAAGAATCGAACCCGTTTTGTTTCGACTTGCCTTGTTTACCTTGCAAGAAAGGTAGCGATACCTGTTTAAATCAAAGATGAACACTTTAGGTGATAGGCACTCAAAAAGAGGTAGTGTTCCCGTGAGCTAGTTATCAGTAACAGACATCTCACCTGGTCAGGATTTAGCAATCTGCAAAAGCTTGGACACGTCAGGTTTTAGTAACATGAGGTATTTGTCCTGGTAATACAGCAACACTCAGAGACACTGTAGTCTGAATTTGAAAATAAACGTACATTAATTCTCCACTTAACCAAGATGGGGCGTGGAAGCCTAGCATAAAATACAGAAAGAGCAGTTCAAGAGTGTCATGATGAAGAAAGCTGTATTAAAAAAATATTAAATCGTGAATCGGGTAGTCTTGCAGCTGCTTTCTTTTGTCATTTCCTGTCCAGGAATTTCTTACTAGTTCTTGGAATCTCTGGGGAACTGCGAATCCTAAACTTATGTTTAGGAGAGGTATGCATAGGTAAAAGGTCGTCCATCTGATAGGACTTAATCTTTGTAGACTCCTCTTCCCTTCAGTCTCTGAAATTTGTATGTATAAAATCTGTGATCCAAATATGATTTTGAAAACCATTTACAATTAGATGAGCGCTTCACTGTTTCTGTTACCAAAGTGAATATTCCATGTTACATATTAAACAAATATTACCCGTTAGTTGGGGACACATTCCTTTCATTTTATTTACATTAATTCTTGTCTTTTTCTTCAGAACTATTGTACTTGAAAACACATTCTTTTGATTATAAATTCATTGGAACTGTCTGTTAGTTAGAAATGATACCGATATTATTAAGTGTTTTAAATGTAATCTTGGTTAATTCAATAAGGTAGAATCAAATCTGTGAGGGAAGGTTTTGTTGATGTTGTTGTTGGGTTTTTTTAAGATCTACGAATGAAGCATTGATAGTAAAAACGCAGAGGTATTTTTCAGCATTGCAAGCCTCAGCCAACCTTCAGCCCAAAAAGCACGATGTGGAACTGAGCGCAGTGCAGGACTGCAGAGCACCATGGAGACACTCCAGAGAACAGCAGCTCAATGTGCAGAACACAGGCAGGAGGAAACAGGAAACCATTCCTGCAGCTGCAGCATTTGGTGTATTCTGGTGTTATTTCTTGTTTCTGCAGTCCAGCTTCTTTAGTCTCGTGCTAGTGAACAGCAAGGAAGGAGGATATAAAGGCTATATGACTTAGGCAGCTGCTGCAGGAGCTGAACAGATTCCTAAATAAGCCGTGTAGTAGGGACCACAACTGTGTCTTGCCAAGGGCTGCAGGAATGGGGGAACTATGCCTGACTCCACAAGGGCTTTAGGAAACATTTTGCCAGTCAAGAATCAAATTTCCTATTGCCTTTTCTGTTTGCTTTTTCTTTGTTGTTTGTTTGGTTTTTCTTTCTATGCTTTGTTGAGCTTTTTACATTCCGATTTTTAATGGACTCCTGTGTACAAAAAGCATAGTCCACTCTTTTCACCAGACCGTAATAAACTCTGAGAGAACTTTCCTTATAAATACAAGAAATATTTCAAATATATATGTATATGTATATTAAAGCCAAGGTAGGGTAGCAAGAACATAAAAAGTCTTACAGAAAAAGAGTATTTGTAGGCTCAGCAGGAGCTTCACCTGGGCACTTTGTTCACATCAGTTTGCTGGAGACTCAGTAATACGATTTCCCTAGATGCATCAAATAAAATCTATGAAGTCTTCATTTGCTCTAACGAGATTAAGTATTTAGGGTTAGACTCTACTGATGTTTTAAAATTGATAGTTTGAATTAACTATCATTCTGCAGCGCCCAATGATCTACAAGGAAGTTTTAATTATCAGCTTCACTCTTAGAATATTTGTAATACACTAACGTTTATTTCTGTTCCTCCACTTTTTATTACAAGTGAGATTTATTAATTTCTTTTACAAGCTTGGGTAATCCTTAGATCCCAAACCACGTCTTAACTTTTCTCCTTCTTGATGTGGAGGCTTCATCCCTTCCAACCTTTTTAATAAATAATTCACTTCTTGACAACTGCCTGTCCTTTTCAGCAACAGAAACTGAATGCTGAAATAGGAAATGTTTTCCAGTCTGCTGCTAAACAAAGAGAACTCTTCATAATACAGAGAAAAAAAAAAAAATCTGTCGATATGTGTAATAGCCTTATTCTCAAGAGGAGTGGATTCGGGCAGCTTTGTTGCTGGCAGCTCTGGTGGGCACTGTCAAGATTTATAAAGAGGGACATTTACAAGATGGAAGATGCAGTGTTCTTCCAAGGTTGTTAGAACAAAATAGATCTGAATCTCATACAAAACAAATGAACCGAATAATTTTAATTAATCAAATCCTATTTTTTTTTCCCTCAGTGTAATCATATCTTTAACCATGAATGCACTGCTGTTAGATAAGAAATGGAGCAAAATATTCACCTCTTTTTTCATTCTCTAGAGCAAACAATATAATATAGGTCTATTAAATGGAAAAGAAAAAGGATATGCTCATATTTCAGTCACAGCAGTCAACCAACATGTTTGAAAATGTGTAATGAAGGACACAGTAAGAAATCTTTTCTCTCTCTGTCTTAAAGTTACTTACATATGTACTGGAACTTGAATAAGCTCAAAAAACACATGCAGCTGAAAGCAAATCCTGATAAATAATCAATAACTTCCCTTGCTTCCGAAGAGAAATGGCCTTCGCCTGCAAATCTCTGGATTTGGCAGCTATGCCTAATTCAGTTTCAACTCCCACTGACATCAGCAAAAATTACCTGA